GAATGGCATACAAACCAGGTTGAGGTTAATAGGCTTGGTGATCTCTACAATTACAATGCTATTACTGTAATTACTTCTGAACATCCTGAAGAAGAGAGAAAAGCAATCAACGTTAGACAGATTCTTTAACCCCCACAAACCAAAAAACATAACTAATAAAAATGCAAGACTGTGTATATATGTATTTTGATTATTACATATAAATAAACATAGTAAGAAAGTAAATATTTTTTTTTTTTTTTTTGGTCTCCAGAACGAATTAATCAAATTTCCATACAAACCTATGGTAAATTGATAATCGGTTAACGAACAATTCAGATAGCGAACAAACTCTTGGAACGGATTATGTTTGTTAACCAATCACCCACTATATAATAAATTTTTACTTAGTTTTTTCTGTTGTATCTACTATTATTGACTACAACTGTAATATTAAGTAGATGCATATACAGGTATACCTTGACTTACATCGTTTTGAGTTACGTCGTTCCCAATTATACGTTGTTTGTCAAAAAAATATATGGAAAAATAAAAATCAAGTTTAAGTCATTTTATTTGACTTTATGTCTGTCCGCCACAAATATTGAAGTCGTAATATCACTAGAAAAGCATTTAAAGCACATAAAATTATATTAAAATATATATATATTTACAAGTATGTACTGTATTTACAGTACATGAATTCATAAATTTAGACTACTTTTTTCTGTACTATATTAAAAACTAAAATTTATTTGTTTGTAAGCTTAAAATAAATCCTTATTAACCATATATTATTAAAAATGCATTAATAAATAAAATACAGAACAGGGAATGGTAATTTATGGTTTAGCCTAGTGACAAGTAGATTCGGAGACAAGTAAATTCGACTTACGTCGCCTCTTCTGGAACCAATTACCGATGTAAGGTGAGGTATACCTGTATTTATTATCACTTTTGTTTCTTTCATAGGAGAAAACATATTAGCAATATTCTTTAAGACTATATAAAATACAAGAAAAAAACTCTGCCTCTTCTGACTTCAGAGGTGAGTAAAAACATTCAAACAACACTTAGATCAGACAAGGTTATTTTAATTATTACACTTCATCATATAAATTCATTTCACCAAAGCATTATCACTTTGGTGAAATGAATTTGATAGGTAACTTATAATTGTATGGTGAAGTGTAATAATTAAAATAACCTTGTCCTGATTTAAGAGTTGTTTAAATGTCTAATAACCTCTGAAGTTAGAAGAGGCAGAGTGTCTTTTTCTTCATATTTTATATAGTTTTAAAGTAATTCTGAACTCATTGAAAAGGTTTTGAACTTTTATCATTTTTATTATTAGGTTGTTCAGAAAGTAAGTTTGTTTTTTTACCACTATACGAATTAGTCGTATTTTTCCTGTCATTTTCATTCTAAACCATATTATCATTATATATTTTGACAGCTAGCATTTTAAGGCTTATTTGTAAAAAATTTTGTTTGATTTCGTGCAATTGTTTATTTTTTGTGTCCCTTCAAATATGGAAGATCAAAAGCAGCATTTTCGGCATATTTTGCCCTTTTATCACTAAAAAGGTAAGAATGCTGTTCAAGCAAGAAAAAAATTGTGTGATGTGTATGGAGAAGATGTATTGACAGAACGACAGTGCCAAAACTGGTTTACAAAATTTCGTTCTGGCAATTTCAATATTGAAGATGCACCACGCTCTGGATGGCCAGTTGAAGCCAACAAAAACAAAATAAAGGCACTTATTGAAGCAAACTGCCGAATAACAACACGTGAAATCACTAAGAGATTAAATTTGTCAAATTGAACTGTTTATGATTACGTGAAACAAATTGGTTTTGTTGCAAAGCTTGATATATGGGATTTTAAGAAATTTTTTTTTTTTTTGGAGCTTTTACCAGACAATTTAACAATTGATTCGAAAGTGTACTGCTATCGAGTAAACAAATTGAGTAATATCATTAAACAAAAAAGGCAGCCAGAATTGATCAACAAAACAGGTGTAGTGTTTTTCATGATAATGCCAAATTTCACACAAGTTTGGTAACTCGTCAGAAACTGTTATAACTTAGATGGGACGTGCTATCACACCAACCATATTTGCCAGATCTAGCACACACAGATTATTACTTGTTCTGGTCTATACAAATTTTTTTTAACTGTAAGACATTTACTTGAAATGACAATATCAAAATCATTTGGATCAGTTTTTTTTGTAAGCAACAATCAAAACTTTTATGAATGTGAAATCATGCTACTACCAGAAACGATGACAACAGGTATTTAACCAAAATAGTCTATATATAATTCAATAAAATATTTTTATTTATTATAAAAATATTGTTTTTTTTTTCACAGAAAAAAAAACATACATACTTTCCGAACAACCCAATAATTTAGAGCATAAATTTGCAGTTTCCTATTAAGAAATACTTAAAATATGCCATACAGACAATGTTTTTGTATTTTACACAATCCCTGGCAAAAATTGTGGAATCACTTCATCATGGTGTTTTTTACAGTGTTTACAGAATAAAAAAAACTGGGAATATTATAAAAGGAAAACATACTGGTCAACCATGAAACACATCAAAGCATCAGGGTAGGAAACTGAAAGCAATGTGTCTTGAAAATAGGAAATGTACAACAAAAGAAATGAATAGGAAGTGGAAAGAAGCAGGTATTAGTATTTATGACAGAACAATGAGAAATCTTTTGAAAGAAATGGGATTTTCATATACAAAAGCAAAACAAAAATCATCACTAACAACAAAACATAAGAAAATAAGCTTAGAATGAGCCAAAGCAATCACACACTGTATATGACTGGATGCAAGTGATATTTAGTGATGAGTTAGAAATTTACATTGATCATGAAGATGATGCTGGAACTTTTGTCTGGTACTGTTCTAATGAAACTTATAAGGAGACTGCCTAAAGAAAATGATAAAGTTTCCTATCTCGGTTATTATTTGAGGTTGCATGTCATGTAAAGGACTAGGCAAACTGGCCATTATTACAGCAGCAGTTAATGCCCAAGTATAGACTGATATATTGGAGAACTTTCTTATTCCATCCATTGAAAATATGTTTGGTGGTGATGTTATTTTTCAAAATTACAGTGTATTTTGTCCTAGGACTCAAACTATTAAAAATTTTCTTTACCAACAGCACATCAACACACAAAACTGGCCAGCACACAGTCCAGATCTCAACCTGACAGAAAACATGTGGTGGAAATTAAATAAATTGTCCAGGACAAAGCTTCATGCTGTAAATCAGATCTCTTGACTGCTATTCAGGAAAGATGGAAATTTAAAAAGTATTTTGTATTAATTACTTGTTTTATTTCTTTACTACATACTTAAAATGCTGTAAAAACATCATTATAATGAAATGGTACCGTAATTTTTGCCAGGAGTGGTATAAACTGTTTTCCTCTATGCATGTTTAGACTTCTGAAAACTGTATTCAATTAAATCAAGAATACTTTACAAAATCCATTCACTAAGAGCATTCACACTTACTTCAGGTTTGAAGGGGAAGTAACTTGTAAAAAATTCTTGAAGAAAAATAAAGAGCATATGCTGAGCAATGTAACAATGCAGTAGCTAGTCTAATTACAGTCTAGAAAATTCTTGAAAGCAAGAAAATATTTAATAGGCAGAATATTGAAAATATGCATTTATAATTCCTGAATTTTGGGTTGTAGGGCCTTTAGATTTCCATTTTTCTGTTTATTTTAGGGATTATCAACCAATACTCAAAGATAAATTTTTATCAAAAGCTGAGCCCTAGTTATCAGCCAAACACCACTAACTCAATATATTTTAAAAACACAAAAATTAAACCTTTTCAATTATTACATAGAAGACATTGATTACATAAATCTAAGTAGAATAAACATAAAAATGAAGTTTTTAGTGCTTTCTAAGTAGAAAGAGGTTTACAAATTTTAGTATATTATTATTATTGTAATAAAAAAAAAGGTAGGCCTATCAGAACAAATAAATAAAGAATCAAAATTAATTTATTGTGCAATGAAACTGCTTTTTCCACCCTCATTCATCATGTTCTATGATGTAAGCTAGATTTGATGAAAAATGATTGATTTTTCATTTACAGTAGAAGTTTGTTAATTTGGCACCTAATAATCCAGAATGTTTGGTAATCTGGTACCCTCTGAAAAGTAGCTGATAATCTGAAATTTCCTGATGATAATCCAGTATACTAGTATTTCATAAATTGGAACTTTTTTTGGATACATAGTACCCAGGATGAATATGGGTGTCCAGCTGTGCACATTTCTGCTATATGTCAGGAGGTTAACCATGGGATCAAGAACAGTTTGATTGAGAAAAATGACTGTTTGTTACAGGATCTTGTTTGTGTTGGTTAAACACTCACTGGAATAAAGTGTACAGCAATGTCTGCAATGCTCAGATTGTATATAACTTACCAAATTTTGAGAAAATAAAATACCCAGTAATCTGGCATTTTTGACCATCTGCACCTCTCTGGTCTCTTAGGTGCAGATTACTACTGTTGCATTCAATAATGTGAAATAGTTTTTTTTTTTTTTTATACATAAAATTTAAATTCTTTAGCTTACAAGGAAGCTAGAAAGCTTAAAGTTTGCTCCAGGCTCTCTTTAATGAAAATATAAAAATAATTATAATAATGTCTCTTTTCTGCTATTAAGTTTTGAATTTTCTCCTGTTAAAATGTAAGTAAACTTTCTAGTTATATAGAAATGGATTAATTATGATATGCTTCCTTTATTTCAAAACTTTGGCAGCTTTAAAAGTAAATTTTATAAAAATGAATTCTTTATTTTCTTTCTTTAAAAATTTTTCAATTTGAAAAGTTGAATAAGAAGTTTTAATTTTTTTTATCTAAAAAGTATTTTATATTTTATTTAAACAATTTTATAGATAAAATTTTTATTATTGTTTATTACATAAAATGACAATATTTTCATTATTTTTAAAAATAATTTTAGATCTGATACTGTTAATTCAACATCAAATAAAAACCATATGATAATGGCATCAACTCAAGGAAATTATTCTTACATCTGTAATTATTGTTCCAAGACATTCTGCTCAACTTCAGATCTAAAAAGGCACATGGATTTTCATAAAAGTAAGATTATTTTTATAATAATAATCAAATAAAATTAAATTAGTAAATAGATATTTTATTATCCAAAACTAATTTTATGTCATTTACAGTAATAACTAAAATTTTATTAAAATAAAAAAATCTTACTCTCATTTAATATTATTTGTCAAAATACTTTGACGTAAAACTTTCAAATATATTTGATCATGAATGAATGATTCATGTATTTTTTCAAATAATAAAAATTATAAATACAGTAGTCTCTGTAATCTAATATTATAAGACAAGCAGATGTCAGATTACAGCAGACTGTCAGATTCCTTGATTTTGTATGCATTGTACATACTGTACTGTAAAAGATGCACTTGGTTCACAGGTTATTTTATCATATTAATCACAATTGTGACTCTTGCAAATTGCATATGCACTAAACAACTAGTTACTGTCAGTTACTTGTACTAAACATCATCTCTGTCACATACATTGACAAGGGGTAACATGATAACTTCATGTACACCATCTGTGGAATATCATTACTGGATGTTGTGGACTGTTGTATTTAACTTTTACACCTTCTAACCCAAAATTAGTTTTATTACATTTTTAATATTTTTGTATGTAAAGGCTTATCTTTATATTAATAGCTATTGGTTAGTACTAGAAAGTCATCTTGGACTATTTTATTTTTATTAATATACAGTATTTCTAAATGTATTCTAAACATTTTATATGTGAAAATTATTCCATTACAAATTTCATATTTGCTTATTATTTTTTGATATTTTACTTATAATATCACCATAAAATTCTATCACTTCTAGGCATACTTCATAATTTCTATGCAACACCAAAACTAGCAGGAGCTTTACTATTTTTGATGCCTTACAGAATTATAAAATGTGAATGATATTAATTGAATAGTGAACTAATAAAATGGTTAAATAGATTGCATTTGTTAATTGTTATTTTATTTTTAATTTTCACATAAGAATCTGTATGCAGTTTATAGATTACTTTTTAAATTGCATATATATATATATATATATATATCTCATTAAAATAAACATATATAGATATATATGTTTATTTTAATGAGAATTTGCTCATCAAAGAGTTAATTGAGTATTATTTATTTATTTATCTTTACAAACAAATTAATAAAGTCTANATGAAAATATAAAAATAATTATAATAATGTCTCTTTTCTGCTATTAAGTTTTGAATTTTCTCCTGTTAAAATGTAAGTAAACTTTCTAGTTATATAGAAATGGATTAATTATGATATGCTTCCTTTATTTCAAAACTTTGGCAGCTTTAAAAGTAAATTTTATAAAAATGAATTCTTTATTTTCTTTCTTTAAAAATTTTTCAATTTGAAAAGTTGAATAAGAAGTTTTAATTTTTTTTATCTAAAAAGTATTTTATATTTTATTTAAACAATTTTATAGATAAAATTTTTATTATTGTTTATTACATAAAATGACAATATTTTCATTATTTTTAAAAATAATTTTAGATCTGATACTGTTAATTCAACATCAAATAAAAACCATATGATAATGGCATCAACTCAAGGAAATTATTCTTACATCTGTAATTATTGTTCCAAGACATTCTGCTCAACTTCAGATCTAAAAAGGCACATGGATTTTCATAAAAGTAAGATTATTTTTATAATAATAATCAAATAAAATTAAATTAGTAAATAGATATTTTATTATCCAAAACTAATTTTATGTCATTTACAGTAATAACTAAAATTTTATTAAAATAAAAAAATCTTACTCTCATTTAATATTATTTGTCAAAATACTTTGACGTAAAACTTTCAAATATATTTGATCATGAATGAATGATTCATGTATTTTTTCAAATAATAAAAATTATAAATACAGTAGTCTCTGTAATCTAATATTATAAGACAAGCAGATGTCAGATTACAGCAGACTGTCAGATTCCTTGATTTTGTATGCATTGTACATACTGTACTGTAAAAGATGCACTTGGTTCACAGGTTATTTTATCATATTAATCACAATTGTGACTCTTGCAAATTGCATATGCACTAAACAACTAGTTACTGTCAGTTACTTGTACTAAACATCATCTCTGTCACATACATTGACAAGGGGTAACATGATAACTTCATGTACACCATCTGTGGAATATCATTACTGGATGTTGTGGACTGTTGTATTTAACTTTTACACCTTCTAACCCAAAATTAGTTTTATTACATTTTTAATATTTTTGTATGTAAAGGCTTATCTTTATATTAATAACTATTGGTTAGTACTAGAAAGTCATCTTGGACTATTTTATTTTTATTAATATACAGTATTTCTAAATGTATTCTAAACATTTTATATGTGAAAATTATTCCATTACAAATTTCATATTTGCTTATTATTTTTTGATATTTTACTTATAATATCACCATAAAATTCTATCACTTCTAGGCATACTTCATAATTTCTATGCAACACCAAAACTAGCAGGAGCTTTACTATTTTTGATGCCTTACAGAATTATAAAATGTGAATGATATTAATTGAATAGTGAACTAATAAAATGGTTAAATAGATTGCATTTGTTAATTGTTATTTTATTTTTAATTTTCACATAAGAATCTGTATGCAGTTTATAGATTACTTTTTAAATTGCATATATATATATATATATATATATATCTCATTAAAATAAACATATATAGATATATATGTTTATTTTAATGAGAATTTGCTCATCAAAGAGTTAATTGAGTATTATTTATTTATTTATCTTTACAAACAAATTAATAAAGTCTATATAGAGATGTGATGACTATAAGAATATTTGATTGTTCATAAGTTTAATTAATAAAGTCTAGGACAGGGGTGGCAAACCTATAGCCCAAAGTGGCAAGTAAGGAGAAATCATCTGGCACATAACATATCATATGATTTTGATTTATCATCTGTGTTATTTTTTTTTTGTAAAGTATGTCATAAAAATTATTCTCATTTCACTGGATACACTTTGTTGTCATAATGATGTAATTGGTTCTAGAAAACTGTTTTATCTAGAAAAGTGTTATGCATGTGGGGTAGTACATGTTGTGAACAATTGTTTTTGTGCATGAAAAACATTAAAACTGCTGAAAGAAATAAGTTGGTTGATTCCCATTTGACTAAGATTTTTATAATTAATACTAGTATCATAAAAGCAGATATCAACAATATTATAAAAGGAAGGCAATGTCAAAAATCACATTTAATTTATTTTTATTTTGTGGGAGTTTTTTTTACTGACAATAAAATATATAATTACAAAAAATACTGTATTTGTTATTAAAATTTGATATTCACATTTTGAACTTTTTAAAAGCATATATTTATATAAAGTTCCTTTGTGGCCTGCTGATTATACATAAATTTCTAAATTGGTCCATTAGGAAAAAAGATTGGACAACCCTGGTCTAGACCAAATTCCATTTGAATTGTCATTGGAGTAAGTGTGTGTAACTTCTGATAGATGATTTAGCTATGTTTGTGTGAATGCAGAATTTTATGTTATCCATTTATCATACATGAAATAATATGTATTGTTCTGTTGTGTTTGAAGTTGTATCCATATTTAACAGTGTTTAACCTATTAGACAGTGGATTTAAGGCCAAAAAAAGCAAAAGTGGACTTAATGAGTCTCTCTGGAAAATGCATTGCTTTATGTGTATTTGGTTTATGTGTGTGTTGTGAAGTCCGAGGTGCAATGTTGTTCTCCAGTGTTTCATTGTGTTTTCTAAAATTGTAATGATTATTGGATGTATTTTCAGGAGTTGTTCTGGAAAATTTAAAAATATAGCCAACCATTTGTTTACCACTGGTAGTCAAGGGAGACCAAGGCAAATTTTTCAATTGTCAGCTTATGTCCAACACATGAATTTGAATGTTGTTAACTAGGGAGACATCAGAGCCAGTATTGTGCTGTGAACACGTAACAACCATTTTTGTTTCCTAGTTATACTTAAGTTATGTATCTAAAGCCAGGTGTTTATAGATCAACCACACCTGATGTTGGAAACAGAAACTGTTTAGCAGCTGCCCATTCTAGATCAGATCATGCTGCTTGTGGGTTTCTCTTTTTTTCATTTTCTCCCATAGACTGTACTGACGTAGGTGGCCCTAAGGGATGCTTGTGTTCTCATTGGCATTGCTCTATGGTTCAAAATAATCAACATCTAATCCTTTGCCGAGGGAGTTTATTTAAAAAACAAATGTTTCTGATCTACTTCATAGATCATCTTCAAGTTGAAAAAAACAAATATGGATAACCACAAAGAATAGAACATTAAATTTCAAAAATATCGACAACTGAGTAATTAAGTAAAATAATTAAAGTGTAAAAATACCAATTGTAAAAATAAATAACATACAACAATAAATAAGTAATAGTACAAGTCGTTAACAGTTAACAAAAATTATAAATGCTCTCATAACGTGAATTGCGAATCAAGTCGTCATTCATAAGCCATTTGTAAGTCTTTTAATAGCAAACTTCCATGCTGAGGGTAGGCCCTCCACATCTCTGGCGTTTATACATCTATCATCAAGTTTGCTTCTGTGTATTTCCATTTTTTCGGCTGTCTTCGCTAAAGTTGGAGAGTGTATTTGCTTAATGATTTCAGCTTCTTCCCATCCAACTACGGAACCTTGGGCTTGAGCCATCTGGGCCAGCACAGTTGTTTGATTTTTTCCTAACATCATATTTATGCTCTCTGACCCTTACCCCCAATTTCCTCGTTGTAACTCCTATGTACTCCTTTTTTAATCCTAATTGTTGGTTCTCATACGGGATCTTATAAACTCCTGCTTTATCTTCTTTCTTAATATCCCCTTTATCGTTTCTTAGAATTTTAAATTAATTAGGAGCTCGTTTTAAAATCACCGTTGATTCTTTTATGTCCGCAATCTCCTTCATAACGCTTCTTACATTTTTGTTGTAGGTGAATTTTATGTATTTACTAGGTCTTTGTTTAGAGACCTTTGTATCCTTTATCTCAAAGTTTCTAACAATGCCGGCAATTATGTTTTTCCTGTAGCCTAAGGATTCTGCTATCCGTTTAATCCTGTCGATTTCTTTGTCTCTGTCCATAATATTGCCTCAGTATAAAAAGGCCCTTCTAACTAGGGCACGAAATGCAGCCAATTTATAACGAAATGGATCATTAGAATGTGTGGGGATATATAGTGGGCTATGTGTAGGTTTGGTGTACACATTGGTGGATATATGCCCATTCTTAAAGACAATATTGATGTCTAAGAAATGTATAACTTTGGAACTTTTTTGTTCTAGCTTCAGATTTAGGCCATCTTCGTTGTCGTTGATACTTTTTATAAAGTTACTAATTGCTCTATTGTTTTTCCATATTATAAAAATGTCATCAACATATCTCTTGTAGTAAACAATATTACTCCTGAAGCTATGTACAACTTTTCTAATTACCATTTCACATAGGAGCCCCGAAATTGGGCTTCCCATAGGAACTCCCCTATTCTGTTTGTATGTTTGGCCTTCAAATCCAAAGAAGGATTCACAGCATACGAGTTTAGCTATCTCTAAAACTTTGTTTCTGTGGTGTGCTAACTCTGGGTTTATTTTAAACAAGAATCCCAAGAGCGCTTCCAAACAGGACTCAATCTTAATGGAGGGGTATAAACTCTCGTAGTCTAATGTTGTTCCAATTTCCTTATCCATCAAAGTTATGTCTTGTAATTCTTTAACAACTATTGTGGGATCTTTTGCAACGCATATGCATGGTAAGCAGGAGTTGTAAATTCAAGGTCCTGCTCCAGTCGAATTCTTTTCTTCCAGAATATTCTAAATTATTCAAGTAAATATTAATTTAATTAAAATTATTAAATTTAATAAGAGATTGCATCTAACACTTACCTCTAGTACCAAATTACTTAGAATCTAATTATTAATAATAGTAAAGTAGCCCAATTTAATACATGTATGGCTTAAAGTTACAATTCCAAATTTAATATCTTAGTATAATCTTTCTGATAAAGAAAGGCAAGTGCTATATACTCTTTGCTTTTCTTTTATATACTGGAAGCTCTAATAAAGCATACAGTTCTATGTTTTATTGTTATTGTTTTTTCCTTTGCTTTGTAGAAATAATGGATGTATTTCATTCTGAATGCATCTTCAAAATTGTAATATGTTTTATAGTTTTTAATATTGTCATGTTTTTTAAATAAAATGTCAATTTGATTGATATAATCATTTAATTAATTTCAGATATTCGTCCTTACAAATGTCCTTCATGTGAATATCGCAGCCGCACTAATAGTCAATTAAAGGTTCACATGATGAGGCATCAAGGTATGTATTTTGCAATTCATAATTTATGCATATTTAAAAAACATCAATAATAGAAATACATTTGAATTTGATTATTTTAAATTATTGGATAATGTTTGCTAGTATTCTTCTTGAAACTTAAATTGTATTAAATTAGTGTTTAAAAAAGTAGATAATGAATTTTTTAGTATAAATTTGGATAATTTGAAGTTGTTATATCTCTTATTGAAGAAATGAAATTTGAAATCAGAAAGTAGTATTTCAGTTAGCTGAGCTATGGAGCATGTGTATTTTAGGGTTTTCCAAACTCCTAGAGCATAGAAAATCTTGTTATATGTTTTATAGTTTAAATGGCATATATATCTAGTTAGCAGAGTTTTTTGGTCATGTTTTTATGATTTCCAAGCATAAAATGCACACATTTTTATCATTAGATTAAAAAATTGAAGTAATTAAAGGAGTGGATAAAAAAAATAGAAAGGAATATCATGTGAATTACAGACAAACACTAGCAACTTACAGAAAACTAATTTAATTTTCAAAAATAGGTAATTGAAATATTTGGATTACTTAATGTTTAAATTAAAAACATTTGAATGTATTTAGAAAATACACAACACACAAAATAAATGTATTAATATATCTGTTTTCATTTTCAATTTGCACTGCCTATCTTCCAAATTTTGCCACTAGGGACACTGCTGTCGTTTGCATTAGATCAGGCATAGTTGCTTTACTATACAGTTATCTCACTTGCATAGCTGTAGCTCTCTCCGTTCACAAGAATTTTCTGGTTAAAGGGACTGTCCTATGCACCCTGTATAATATAAACATCAACCTGATTTATTTGTATTGCCAAACAATCCACTGGATTATCCATTAAGCTGTTTTAAGACTAGTAGATAATTAAATGCAAATCAGTTTGTCTAGAGGTAGGTGGATATGCTGTCATTCATTGTAAATTTAATAATTAGAAATAAATTAACTTTAATTTACAATATTCTGGAAGAAAATTAGCCCAGAGTTGGACTCAAAACTGCAACTCCTGCTTATCATGCAGATGCAATGCCAGTTACACTACCCAGACCTCCATTCAACCTTTGCTTCCAGAACTACTAATTAATTTAGATATAACCATATTGATTACTCACGTTGCTGATTGGGGATAATTTAGCACCCATGGCCCTCTATGGCTCTCAGTTAAAATTAATTTATTTCAAATCATTAAATTTACCATGAGATGGCAGCATAACTGCTTACTTCTAGCCAAATTGATTTGTATTTAATTATTTACTAGCCTTAAAATAGCCCAATAGATTATCTGATAGATTGTTTGATAATATAAATGTACTCAATTTAGAAATATCAAGTTTAGTATTATATTCATTTCTTGTCATATTTGATCTGTTGAAGATTATTATTTTAAACATTTTCACTCATCTTTGATTGTTATGCCAGTTCATGATATTAAGTATCATTTTTAGGTCTTATCTTATTAAACGTTGATGGATGACACATTACTCCATAATTTTATGCTTATGATATTAGTTTTTTGAAAATTATTGTAATTTTCTCCCTAGCAGTAATTTTCTATAATTCATGGATTATGTGTTTAAAATACTTTCCAACTTTGGTAGGCTGGATTGTAGATTCTCAAATTATAATCTGAAGCAAGTTTTTTACATCAAAAAAATGGTCCTATAATCATTTTACTTTTAATTATGAGGGCTTCTTTACATGATAAAACATGATGGGAAGTCATTTTTGTGTGTCAGGTGAATACAAAAGACAAAAGGTGCTGACAGCCCTATTCACTTCTACAGTATTTATGAATTTAATTGGAATTTTGAAATTAATTGGATTATAGTTTTATTATACATTCATCAGGCCTCCAGTAAGGATCTACAAGTTATTACATGCTTAAAATATGTTTTAGCTTAATTAATAATTTATAGCATTTGACTCTGACATCTTGATCAAGAAGACCTGAAAGTCTTCTTTAAATGACATGACAAGAATTGTCTTATTCACAGTTGATACAGAGAAAGCTTGTTTCAGTGACAAATAATCCTTATCTCTAAGTCTCCAGAAAGTTTTTATAGAAGTGTGATTTAATTATAATATTTGATTAATACAAAGATTCATGAAAATACTAAGAATACAATTACATTTAAAGGAATCAAAAATCATACTGAGGATGTATTGCAATCCTCATATGGAATCAATTTTATATTTATTGTTAATAATAAATTAAATAACTAAAAATTATTTCACTTAAAATTTTTTAATTTTAGATTCAAACAATAACCCCAGACTGAGCAGCTGTGATATAAAATATAATCAGACAAAATGTATGTCATTTATAAAAAGAAAACAATTTATTTTTCAAATATTATATTAATTAATATTCTAAGGCTGGTCTTATGTCTGAGATGATGTAATAAGTCTAGGAATAAAGAGGCCATCATAGTTCTCACAAGTATAAAATTAATATACAAGGGTGTTTCAATAAGTAATGCCTTTTATTTTTTTAAACAAACATTTTAATGTGTACACAAAAACATGAATACAGGTATACCTCGAGTTATGTTGTTCTTGATTATATGTTAATATAATCAAGAACGACATAACTCAACATAATATATTGAAAATAAAAATCAAGTTTAAGTCATTTTATTCAACTTTATGTCTGTCCACAATAAATATTGAAATTGTAATATAACTAGAAAAATGTTAAAAGCGCACAAAATCATATTAAAATACATTTACAGTAAATGTTAATATAATCATCATAAATCATAGAGAACGAAATATGAAAACATCTGTGACTCTGTGTTGTCATCTTATTTAGTGGTCTTTAAGAGCTCAATATTGGCATTTTCTACAGTAGTTCCAATATCTACTGTTTGGTGGTGTTCTTGATTATATGTTAATATAATCAAGAACGACATAACTCATGCCAGTCGTTATTAGTAAATTTAGTAAAAAATAAACTAATTTATGTTATCACAAAATAATTTTAATAACTGTATTTGTTATTAACCTTACAAAATCATCTTATTTTATAATATGTTAGAGCAAACCACATTCACAAATAAAGATTCCGCAATGTACTGTAAACATGTATATTTACAAGTATGTACGTGTGAGAATCTGGAAATTCAGGAGAGGGTCATTGTGAAAATTAACAAAGTAGAGAAAAATAATTATAAAATTAAGAGAAAATAATATTTTTAAACTTTAATGAATTTTACAAAAAAATGGATGAAACTTTCGATTTTGAAAGGAAATTGATTTCCTTTCCCACGCCGACTCATGATGAGTCGATGAGTTTTGCACTAAAAGTTACTAGAGAGCCAATAAAAGGGACGTTTTCCTGCCATTCAAGGCAGTCCGTCGAAAAGAGGTTGCCACACGAAAAGAGCTTGCCCTAAGATAAAGGCAGTTGTCATACAAAGTGTACGTTATACAAATCAGTTAAATGAAAGTTATAAATATATAGCAATAAACGAAGTATACGACAAGATAGTTAAAAGAGAAGTTATTTAAAGGACTTTCCAAAGAAACTGTTAGAAGAAGAATACCCAGAGTTGAAGAAGACCCTCATTCAGAGAAATATTCAAAAGACCTGGAGAAGGTAATATGATCAGAGATAGATTGATGTGATCTCTCTCTCACGCGTCAGGTTTAGAATAAGATTAAGTTAAGTCGTAGTTTAGGTTTAGGTTTATTCTTTTGTATACTTTTATATTTTGATTTATTAAATGTTTTGTTTATTATTATAAAAATGGTTTGGTTAATATTGGTTATTCATATTCATTTGTATTTAAATTTCCTTCGCTCCTCTTACAAGTTAGGGATAACACGTGTTAATCCGCGTGTAAAATAACTGATTAACTGGTGTCAAGGATCCTGACGTGATCTAGACCTTACTGTCCAGATCTTTCTCTTTAACATATTAGTTAAAGCCCTCCACACACTATTTCTTTAGATAGAAAAGCCATTCTTCTAGACAACCCGAGGGCTATTCTAGAGAATAGTCGCCAATTAAGTGATACTAGAGTCTTACCTACTCCGTATCCCCGGCTAGCCCCTCACATACATACTGTACATGTATTCATAAATTTAGATTACTTTTTTCCTGTGCTATATTAAAAACTAAAATTTATTTGTTTGTAAGCTTAAAATAGATTCTTATTAATCATATATTATTAAAAATGCATTTATAAATAAAATACAGAACAGGGAATGGTTATTTGTGGTTTAGCCTAGTGACAAGTAAATTCAACTTATGTCGTCTCTCCTGGAACCAATTACTGACATAAGATGAGGTAAACCTGTGTAGTAAATAAAGTATGAACTTCTGGCAACACTATTGCATGATAGGAACACTTGTGTTGCTTGTCGGACATTTCTGACAAATGGAAAGAAAATAGTGTGTATACTATCATTGTCCACACTCCAAGAGCAGCAGATTGTTATTCATTTAATATGGGCAAGGGGCAAGAAATATGAACAAACTCATGTAGAAATGCAGAAAGTGTATGGTGGTGATTGCATGGACTATTCATATGTCCATCGATGATGTGAATGTTTAAAAATGGTCATCAGTGTGTGATTGATGAGCACAGGTCAGGTCTTCTGCCACACTCACTGCTGTTCATCAAACAATTCAAAGCAACCGCCGCATTTGCTTGAAGATGATGTTGGAAAAATTGCCTGGAGAGAGGTTCCATTCTGACGAGGAGGTTAAATCGGCTATTTGCAGATGGTTGTATGGCCAGGAGCCAGCATTCTACAACACAGGCATCTTCAAGCAGGTATACCGCTGGCACAAGTGATTGAACTGAATGTTAAGTAGCCTAATCCATATATTCCGTATTTCTATATGTATTAAAACTTTAGCTTAAAAAAATAAAAAGCGTTCTTATTGAAACCCCCTCGTAGATTTTATTATAACTTTGAATATCAGATTTCTATGTCAAAGAATTTAAACAAAAATTCAGAAAAGTATATTAAAACAATTAATAAGATAAAATATTAAAATTAGCCGATTCTATAAAATATCTTTGTTCACTTCAGTTTGTGAAAAACTTTTGCAATAAATCATTATGATAATATACTCAATGAAATATTTGTAAACATTTTATTCTAAAAGAATAGTTATTTAATGATTGTCGTATTTAGAAGCAAAGTAAAATAAATTATTTTGTACAATAATTGAATTTAAACAAATAATTAATTTTATGAGTAATAATCAAAATTTCTTATTTTAGGAATTCGACAATATCTGTGTCATCCTTGTAATTATGGAGGTGTGACGCAATCAGATTTGAACAGACACTTAAAAACCAGAACCCACATTCTGCGTACTCGTACAATTTGCTCATCCTAAAGGTGGTGCTTGATATAAAGTTCTTATTTTCTTTTATATTTTTGTTTACAGGATAACAAAACATTTTGTAAGTTTGGGAGTGCCTTAGCTGGATAGAATACTTCTTTTCTATTCAAATGATTAAATTTTATAGAAAATATATAAGAAAGTAAACTTCAGTAAAATAAAAGTATTATATAGTTTATTTTGGACTTTATTACAGGTTAAACATTTTCTGAATTTATATACATATATAACATGAGTTCAACTCAACATGAAATTCTTTAGAAACATTTATTCATTATTGTTTTTATAGTAAATTAATAAATCCTTAGTCCATTGAAGCACAATAAAAATGCTAGAAATAGCATTTTTTTTCCCAAATAATCAGGGATTTTAAATTGTTTCATGAAAAAATTTTTAGTAATTCTTTAATGAAAAATGACAATGATATATAAGACTATGTCAGATATTATTTACAAATTATCACATTGTTGAAAATTTTGTTGTATATTGAAAAATCAAAAAAGAAAAATCTTAAATATGCAAATGTTTAATTATACTATATTGAGTTTTATTAATATTTTATATTTTTATTGTATTTCTTATATGATTCCATAACTTTTTGTTAATACAGCTTAAAAAAAACTGTGATTTTAAAGAATTTGAAATCTGTTTTAACAATGAATTCATTTGCTGTTAAAAGTATATACAATTACTAGTTGTATTAAATCTAGTGTAATGTATAAGATTTCAAAGATAATAGTTTTGTGGATGACTATGGTATTCACTGTTTTGTTATATTGATTTATGATGGATATACATTTTTCTAATTTCAGTCAATTTATTACTGTTTATTTAACAGAATTTATTTCCAGTAAATGTATGAAATATGTAACTAAAACTCAGAAATGTGTCTACTTTTAACTTTTTTAATTCAAAAAGCATATAAGAACTGTTAATTTAGATAAAACTTTAAAAGACTCAAACAATAAATTATTGAAGATGTAAAAGTTGTTTAAAAAAATAAACAATGTAAAAATATCTTTAAAATAGTTTTTGTTTGTGAAGAGTTATATTTATATTTTTCTAATTTGTGCTATATATATTTATATATATGCAAATTATATTGCTATATATATATACATAATGTATATATTAATATTCATGCATATACAGAAATCACTCCTTCCATTGAAAATTCATATCTTTTGAAATTTTTTGTTGAAATAATAAATGTATAAAGCTAGAAAGAAAAAAAAGTATATATATATAAATATATAATATGTATGATATCTTATTTAGTATTTTATTGTTATAATTTTATTATTTTTGTTCTTTGGTTTCCAAATATGGTCTTATATAATGAAAACTTGCATTATTGCTGTTATAACAAATAAANATATATATAAATATATATGAAATCTGATGACTGGATGAAAAATTTGTGATGTGAAATGTGAATAGATATATTGCTCATGTCTTTCAAGTTATCTCTGGTGACAAATGTTAATAAATTGATCAAATGCTTATAGATGCAACATTATCTTATTAAATCAATATAGAATATTTGAAAACCTTGGTGATAGTTTCTATAATCTAGTTGTGAATTATGTTGTCAGCATGTATATTAAATTTCATTATTTTACAAAATAAAATTGTTGTAGTTATTATATTTTAATTTATATGGAGTCATGTATTTAAATTTTTTAAAATTTGTTCACTTATATCTGTCTTAACCTAAAGAAATCATAATTATTTATTAAGGAAATGATCCTAAATTTATTATATAAATGTTATTTCTACCGAATTATGTATTATTATAAGACAGTGGAATAGCATTTTAAAGCTGTTTAATGATTATTAATAAATGCAAAAATTATTCTTAAATATTCCAAGATTGCAATGACTCAATAATTCCTTAAATAAAAAATAGTTTTATTTTTTTAATGACATTGATATTAGAAAATATTTCAAAGTTCTTTCATTTGTATAACTTGAAGTTTACTAACATAGTTTGAAATGTAATATGTTTCCAAAGTTTAAAAAACAATATATAATTAGATTCTAATTTTACTGTAATTTGATATTTTCAAAAATTTTTGTAACTTTTATTTTACAAAAAATTAATTCAGTTCAAATGAATGATTTACAATATATAAATAAATGTTTATAGTAGTACATATAATTATTAAACGATTTATTAATTTAAATTTATTTTGTTAAAACAAATAAAAAAATTTTTTGTTAAATCTATATTTATGTAATTGTTGGGTCATTCAACAGTCTGAAGTCTCCAATTTTTTAAATCCCAAGATTGCAATATAAAAAATTTCTAATAATTTAATAAAATACATGAATTTCACACCTTATATCTGGCATATCTAAATTTAACATTATTTGTATAGAAATGGATTTTAAAATTAGAATAAATTTAAAAATAGAAGATCTATTTTTAATAGAATTTGCTGGAGACAGCTTGTTGCCCAATGTGCTCAATTATGGAGATGGATNATGAACGAGTTTATCATCCATAATTACTACACCATCACAAAACTCAAAACAAACATGACAGCATACAGACAACAACTACACCATAGATTCACGCAACAATATCCTCACCTCACTGTCACTGAACAAAGGGTTGTCGATCAAAAGGAACAATTATACACAACAACCTTATCCCACAAACAACACTTGAACTTATCAAACAGGTTGCTGATCAAATACATCAACAGACAGAAACATTTAACATTATTAATGAAGATCACATAACCTGTCAGGATAATCCAGAAACAAGCATTGATAATAACACACATACAACAACTACCACTAATGATACTACAGGCACTTCCTCATCCATCACTGATAACATAGACATAGAATTAGTTAATACAATCTCACTTATATTTCAGGAAACACTCACTAAAAGATTGCAATATAAAAAATTTCTAATAATTTAATAAAATACATGAATTTCACACCTTATATCTGGCATATCTAAATTTAACATTATTTGTATAGAAATGGATTTTAAAATTAGAATAAATTTAAAAATAGAAGATCTATTTTTAATAGAATTTGCTGGAGACAGCTTGTTGCCCAATGTGCTCAATTATGGAGATGGATATAAAAGAAAGATTGCAACCAAACCTAACTTAGTGATCCACATATGAGAAAAATAAAATTCACATATCTCTTTCTTACTGCAATTTACTGATATAAGTTATTCTGAGTTTATATCGCACTGTTTTCTCAACTTTGTATACCTTTCTCAAATTTTTTACACCATCCCAAGTATGAGCAAATGAGAAGTTCCAAATAAGAAAATGTTTTGTAAGATTGTCCTTAACTCTTTTTTTTCCCACAAGACCTGTTGTTTTGTCCAAAATCCTGTGATGATTTTTAGGAACATATTGTTCCTAAAACTTTTCCCCTATATAACAGTATTTTAGCACATACTGTTATATACAGGAATAAATATATATTTTCTAAATGCTAAAAAGTGGGTGAATGGTTAATGAACAATTTGGACTGCGAACAGATCGGACAATGTACTTGACAGTGACACTTTCGCAAAAGATTTTGGACAAACATCTGACAGAACAAATATAAGTGACAATGCTTTTAAGATTTGTAAAACTATATTTTACTGGTATCTATGAATGGTTTATGAAACAAGACTTTCACAGTTGCAGTTTACTAACATGATATAAACTAGTGCAGTTTACTAACAGATATAAACTAGTGCAACCTTTTTTTGCACTAGTTTATATCTGTTCTCTGAATTTTTGTAAGTGTTGTACTGAACTTTTTATTTAAAAATCTGATAATAATATAGGACTTAAAAACAGTGGTGTCAAAAACTGTGTTCACTATAGAAACTTAGCAAGAGATAATAGCCAAGGTAGAGAGTGGGCAGATGATGTCTAATGTTGCTAGGCAATATGGCCTCAACAGGTGTACAATGAGCACAATCTTAGCAAAGAAAGATATAATCAAAAAGCTCAAGCAAATAAAGTAACAAAAATCACATCTGAGAAACAAAGATGTGCCATCCATGAAAAAATGTAATAACAAACTAAAAGAAATCTCTCCATGTAAATAAATATATTAAGAAATTATATAATTATTTATTTATTTTTTGGGTTGCCAGAATGAATTAAACAAATTCCAATAAAAATCTGTAGTAAATTGATAATCAGTTAACAAACAATTCAGGTCGTGAACATTATCTTTGAACAGATTATGTTCATTAACTGATCACTCACTGTATCTTCAAAATTAATTTTGAAGATGCTATTTTGAAAATATTTACTAAATACTTCAAATAATAATTTTATGCACATATTATTATTATTATGTGCATAAAATTATTATTTGAAATATTTAGCAAATCCTTGCTAATAATAATAACTCTCTCGTGGTCACCACCTGGACATGGTTGGAGAGCCCAGTAATTTTACTGATCCATAGAGCAATGTAGGTTGGAGCAAAAGCTCCTGGTAGGGATGGAATACCCATGTCAGTTAGGTCTATGGCAAGAAATGAAGCTAAGAATGACCATACCCACATTCTGTGGAGATATTGATTGTGGTAGTAACCAGATCTAAGTATGAAACCGGCTCAAATGTTGCTGGGGTTAACAAGATCCATGTTTGTGGCTTAGGCAGAGGATCATGTTCGAAAAATAGGCTACAGTCTCCCTTGGTTACTGGTGGTGAAAGCAGCACAGCCCAAGCATGGCTACTGCAATGCCCTCAGCTGAAGTGAGGAACCAACCTAGCCCTGGTGTTTCTGTGGCAATGCATCCACAGACCACAAAGGCTGGAAAACCACGCCAACAGATGAAATTGACAATAGAAATGAACGAGTTTATCATCCATAATTACTACACCATCACAAAACTCGAAACAAACATGACAGCATACAGACAACAACTACACCATAGATTCACGCAACAATATCCTCACCTCACTGTCACTGAACAAAGGGTTGTCGATCAAAAGGAACAATTATACACAACAACCTTATCCCACAAACAACACTTGAACTTATCAAACAGGTTGCTGATCAAATACATCAACAGACAGAAACATTTAACATTATTAATGAAGATCACATAACCTGTCAGGATAATCCAGAAACAAGCATTGATAATAACACACATACAACAACTACCACTAATGATACTATAGACACTTTCTCATCCATCACTGATAACATAGACATAGAATTAGTTAATACAATCTCACTTATATTTCAGGAAACACTCACTAAATATACAGGTACAGATCTCCCACAAAGACCACAAACACCAAAAATCAACACGTCAAAGGTAATAGGAAAAACACTAGATTATGTAAACACTCACTTACTACTACACTACATCCATTTAATTTTTACACTCTCAGACATTCATACATTAGTTTATGCTGGGGCAGTCACAGTAGTAACACACCATGGTCTGAAAATACAATCACAGACAGAAACACACAAAAC